TTTAGGGGTTCGGAAACCCCAAGAAAAGCTCCACAGGTGCCTGGCCGAACCGGGGTCCGTCGCATTTGCTGCCATCCATGGCGCAGCAGAAGGTCAGCCTTTCCTCACCTAGGGGAGGCTGGTTTTCAGTAGGGAATGAGGAAAGTCGGGCCGAAAAATCCCTTAAAGGGTCTGTATAGGGCCCCTATATAATCCCTTAAAGGGTATGCAAAGGGCCCTGTATAATCCCTTGAGGGTATGTTTAAGGCCCTACTTCCCCCATTCCCTACTAAAGACCCCAGCGGGCAGGGAGAAGAGTGTTTCTAAGGTTCCAGGTATGGGCCCTTAGTTTGGGGCCCTTGCAAAACAGCCCTGATATCCACTGTAAGCAATAAGGGCCCAGACTTCGGATCCCCGTAAACAAGGGCAAGGGACCATGGTTCCACTCTTAGAGTGTTCGGGGGTTTCGGGGATCTAAGGCTTGCACGTTTAGGGGCTTAGGGGGTTTAGAAACCCCTCAACCCCAGAGTCCCATGGAATTCGGGGCTGGCTTTGATGCACCTCGCCCTGAAGGACGAGCCTCCTGCAAACCAACAAGAAACACCTTAAACCAAAACCCCAAGCAGCAGAACACTGGAAGCCGAAGCCACAGTTTTATCACGAGCTTCACCTTCTGCTATTTTTGTGATGATGATTATGGTTCCTGCTATGATTCTTAGTGCAAAAACTCCTTTCCCAGTAAACTGAGCCATGAGCTGGGCTTACCATCCATATCAACTTCTAAGGTGCTGGGTTTTGGGGCTTGGGGCTCAGGATTTAGGGTTTGGGGTTTAGGGTTGAGGGTTTAAGGTGTAGGGCTTAGGGCTTAGGGTTTTGGGTTAAGGGTTCAAAATTTCGGGCAACCTTGGATTCTTCGACTTTTTCAGCCCGATCTGGAGCAGCTTCGCCGAGCCGCTGCGCTCAACCATCTCGCCCCGAACGTGTTCGCCATCCTTGTGGGCATGGAAGCTGCGGTTGTAGGGTTCATAGGGTGGGTTAAGGGTTTCGGATTGAGGGTTTAGATTTAGGGTTTATGGGGTTTATGGGGTTTATAGGGTTTATAGGGTTTATAGGGTTTATAGGGTTTATGGGGTTTATAGGGTTTATAGGGTTTATAGGGTTTATAGGGTTTATAGGGTTTATAGGGTTTATAGGGTTTATAGGGTTTATAGGGTTTATAGGGTTTATAGGGTTTAGGGTTTAGAGCCTGTAGGGCTTGCGGGTACTGAGCTCCGGGGTCAAATCTTCGCAGGACTTTGGGGGTGTTGACTCTAATGTGTCTTCCCTGAACCCTAAACCCGGAAACCCCAAAGCCCTAAAGCCCTTGAACCCTAAAAATTCTAAACCCTAAACCCGAAAAATCAAGACCGAAAACAGCCCCCCTGCAACCCGAACTCTCATGATCGGAAAGCCCACTCTTGGCCGAGGCTCGAGGAGAGATGACCCTCCTCTTGGGGTTTAGGGTTTAGGGTTTAGGGTTTAGGGTCTAGGGTTTAGGGTTTAGGGTTTGCAGCCGGGGTTCAGTCTGGCAGGAATCCTCAGCCCAGTAGAAGCCGCGCTGGCGGGTAGCATTCAGGATGACCTTCGCACTCCTATTGCGGCCCCATACCCCGAAACCGCTTAGCCCTAAACCCTAACCTTCGCCCTAAACCCTAAACCCTAAACCACTATCGGGTTTCGGGTCTAGGGGTTTGAGGGCTGTGGTGCTGCAGGGCGTCAGGCCTTCGGGATTAGGGTTGAGGGCTTGCCGTTTGAAGGGCTCATGGGCTGTTAGAAGGGTCATAAGAACAGGTACCTGCACAGAAACACATGCTTACGGTACTTATTCTTGTCGCTTTGCGATGAAGGAGACCACTAGAAAGAACAGAAAATCAGCTCTACGGGTCTGATGTGGGGACCTGTGCGACCGTGCAGAGGACCAGAGTCAAACCCTAACACTAGCCCTAAACCCCTCAACCCCTTTCAGCGCAGCCAGGGGGCTGTAAATTGCCGTCCAGAGTCCACTCCTCTCCCTTGCGCTTGGGAGCAGGAGGAAATCTCCACATCCTTCGCGCTGTACTGGACTGACTTCTCACCTGCAATGCACTTGCAAAGCACAATTTCGTTTGGGTCTAGCGTTTAGGGTTTAGGGTTCAGGGTTTAGGGTAACAGGGTAACAGGGAAGACCGCGGAAAGGGGCGAGGGGTCCCGGGTTGCTCCGGATGGCCTGCGAAAGGGCTGCTGCCCACGAAGACCTCGAAGTCAACGCAGCTGACATTGTTCTGAAGATCAGCCTTGGTTGGGAGGTTCTTCCTTATACTAACAATCCTTCAGAGGGATTGTGGTAGGGGGTACTGTAATCCCGAATAAGGACTGTTAGGAAAAGGATGAACATGCCAACTTGGCATACTCAAGTAAGCCAGCTCAAGGGAAAGCGTTGACTCAAAGAAACAATTTGACATTTCCGGACAGGTTCATGATGGTTTGGCGGTCTGGCCATGTAAATGTATGGGGTCTCCAAAACCGGACATCCTAAACCCTAGACATTCTATACCCAAACTCTGAGGGCTTTTGTTGGCTTCATAGCCAAGTAGCCATATCATCACAAAGGGTGCCCTTTTTGGGGGTTGAGGGCTCTTTTTGGCTTCATAGCCAAGTAGCCATATCATCATAAAGGGTGCCCTTTTGGGGGTTGGCAATTTCGTACGGGAACCCCGAACTTAGTTAGTACCAAGTTGGGCGTCCGTCTACAAGGAATGCGGCGATCAGAATACCTTCAGGGGGACCCCAATTTCATGCCAACCCTGTCGTGTGAACGGCTTGTTGTTGAAACGATGAGCGATAGTAGGTTTGGGGGGACCTCTAATCAGTAAGTTCTCATGGTGTTGTAAGGGGATTGAGGGTAAGAAACATTACACATGATGTGCAAACCTACCCACTGTTTAGCATCGTGCCGGCGGACCATCTCGCACGTCAGCAATTCCGGCTGGGCGGTCGTGACGTGGCATGGCTCTGTCCCGACCATCACCTCGAAAAGTCTCTTGCAGATACCCTTTCAAGATTGAGGCTTTAAGGGGAGGATTCCTTGCCTTATGCTTGTCAAACCGACCCAGCAGGACCTTCGCTGGTGCCTACTTCAGGACTCGACATGGCTTTTTCGAGAACCTTCAAGCAAACTTGAACGGCTGCATGTAGCTGCATGTGGGATCCGAACAGCCAAGTCGCCGTCGTTTTGCTCACATTGGAATCAAAGGCTCTTCCAGAGATATGTATTCTGGTCCCACCAAGAATGCCCGAGAATCCTGTGAACAGCTCGGGCTGTTTAGGGTTTAGGGCTTAGGGTCAGGGAACCGAAGCGTTCCTCATGCAACCAACCTTGCAGTAGGGGTACCCATTTTGGGGTTTCTTTAAGAAGGAAGATACTATGTTGGGGGGGTAACTTAGGGGACCCCATCTATGTAGGGAAGCCCCCCAAATTTGCCATGCGAGTTTGCCATATGCAACGTTGCCCCCCCGATTTCAGCTAAAACTACTCGAGCCTGAACTGTCCAACACTCTGCACCAGTGCACCAGATGCCCTAACCCTGCCCACATTTTAGGGTTCAGGGTTGAGGGTTTAAGGTCTAGGGTATATAAGGCTTGTCTGACCCTCAAACATAGAAGGCTAGGCCCTAAACCCTGCAACTTGGGACAGAGTCCTGGGCTGATCCCGAGGATGTCGGGATGAATTGCTAAGTCCTCGAGGCTTTGTGGGAACGTCTCTTTGTCGTTCAGGGTTCAGGGTTGCTGGTTTTGGGTTTAGGGTTTAGAGTTAGGGGTTTAGGGTTCAGCGTTCAGGGTTGCTGGGCCTGGGTCTTTGAGGAGTTCGCATATGGTTGTTGGGACCCTTGGATCTGCGTTCGTCCCAGCCAAAAGCCCCAAACCCTAAACCCTAAACCCTAAACCCTCGACCCTTTCCCTCTTGGGCTCCGAGGCTCATATGGCTGGAAGTCGCCATCGAGAAATGCGGGTGGCAACTCGGCTTGCCCCTGCCACGCGCGATACACTGCAAGCCCAAGCCCGCGAGGCTGGCTGCTGTGGTCTGTACCTCGGGTTTAGGGTTTAGGCTTTGTAGGGTTTGGGGTTTGTAGGGTTTAGGGTTTCTAGGGTTTAGAGTTTGTAGGGTTTGGGGTTTGGGGCTTAACGTTGAGTGTTTAGGGTTTACAGGGCTTTAGGAAGTTTAGGGTATACAGGCCTCAGGGTTTTGGTGGTTTTTGTGTTTAGGGTTTGAAGGGTTTAGGGTCCAAGGCCCTCGCAGAGCGTTTTGTAGGTCTCTCCCTAAACGCCCTGACAACACGCCTGCAGCCCTAAAGATCTTCGGTCTTGTAAGGCGTTTCGGGTGCGAAAAGCTAAGCCCACTTCGGAGTCCAATTCGGAGTCCAACATGTAGGGTTTAGGCCTTAGGGTTCAGGGAGTCCAAAAAATCCCAAACAACAACCCCTAAACCCCAAACTCGGAGTCCCCAACATGGGCCACGGCACAAGGGTAGTGCGCGCAGTTCGGGTCCTCCAAACCCACGGGCAGGGCTCGGAGGCGGAGCAGGGAGAGGCGAGGCGCAACTTCCCGTGGCAACACGCAATTCAAAGTTCGCATCCTCACAGGAGTTTCGGGGGTAGGGTTTAAGGGTTAAGGGTTAAGGGTTTGGGGTTTAGGGTTTCGGGTTTAAGGTGTGCCACGAGATGGAGCTAGGCTGCCCTCTGTGACGGATTCTAGCTGTTCAGGCAAGACTCTCAAGCAAAAAGTCGTCTGAATTCAGCACTTCGTGTGCCCCAGCATCGCAGATGAAGCCGCCGATCTCAACTAGGACGCCTGCTTGGGGGGCAGATTCTGGGTTTCAAGCTAATCCAAGCTAAAGACTGCTTGCGAACAAAGGGCCAGGGTTGCGTGGAATGTCGAACCCTAAACCCTAAACCCTAATGCCCTAATTAATCCTTTTGCCAAATTGCGGTCCAAGCTGGAGACTTCTAGGGCGCCAGAGTCGGCGGCACCGAAGGCAAGTTGATCTCCAGCAGAGACCGCCCGGGCGGAAATCCAGGAAATGTACGGGGTCTCCTCCTGGCAGATTAATTTTAGAACCTCCTTCCCCCTTCTTCTCAGCTTACAAGCAGCTCTGCACACGACTCGGCCTCTGTGTACTGGAATCTGCAGTTCGCACAAGTCGGCTCGCAGGGTCCATCAGGATGCAACCTCGGAAACACATGAACTGGGAAAGCCTACGGAGGCCTGGTATATCTTGAAGGGGGGAGGGCAGTCATCTCAGCAAAGCCAGCGGGAGCTCATGGTGTGGGCAATCGCGCGCCTGAGGCAGACCTGAACTGCTGGACCTTCATGTCCAGCAGGCGTTTCGCAGAGGATCTGCTCCGAGGTGGTAAAGTCCTGCTTCGCGTAAGAAGTGACACACAACAACAGTCACAACTGAGCCCCTCCAAACTCCCTCCGAACTCCATCCAAACAAACAACCTCAAAGAGCTAGGAGCTTAGTTTGACCTGCAGGATGGCGCATGGCTTGCCACCGACAAACACCTGAGTGATTGGAGAGTCTCTTTTTCTTCAACGCCCGTGCACCGTTGCTTCTTTTTTTGTCAACTTGACTTACAAGGTCTTGACACAAAGCTGCTAGTTGCAGCCGACAGTCCGACTGGATGCCTGAGCTGTCGACATCTCCGGACTTACAAGCATCTGTAGCTCGCTGCCACACTGGTGATCCGTGCTACTGCCGCTACCGGTCGGCCCATTCTAACCTCTCTTAAACCCAAAACCCTAAAACCCCCAAACCCCCACGCAGCCAAGAAGCCAAAGGGATTGGGGCCACTTGGGTCCCGGAATCCACTGCCCAGCAAGACAATATGCGTGCCGCCGGCTGTGCTGCCATGAGATGGCAGCACCGACGAAACCTAGCAGGGCCAAAGCTGGCATTCTGGTCACGCAATGAACTTGGGATGTTACCCCTTATACTACCAGCCCTTAATGGGAATAGAGTACCCCCGCATTATCATCCTTTTTAAGTACTGTTAGCAGAATGGAGCACATCCCCTGGGAAGGCTCCGGGCCTTCGCTGCTTGTCCGACAACCAGCCACACCCCAAATGTAAGAATCCAGGCTTGGGGCAGCCACTGCCATGAGATCCTGCGGAATGGGGCTTAGGGTTTAGGGTTCAGGGTTTAGGGTTTAGGGTTTAGGTTTTAGGTTTTAGGTTTTAGGGTTTAGGGTTTAGGGTTTAGGGTTTAGGGTTTAGGGTTTAGGGTTTAGGGTTTAGGGTTTAGGGTTTAGGGTTTAGGGTTTAGGGTTTAGGGTTTAGGGTTTAGGGTTTAGGGTTTAGGGGTACACAGCATACAATTCAGCTTGATAAGAGCATGAGAACGTTAAGATGACGCGGCAACAGACGTGGCACCCGGGGACCTTCTCTGCATCCCATTCGCTGCTTCCTAATCAGCGGGCACAGCCACCCGCAGAACAACTAGGGTTTAGGGTTTAGGGTTTAGGGTTTAGGGTTTAGGGTTTAGGGCTTAGGGCTTAGGGCTTAGGGCTTAGGGTTTAGGGTTTAGGGTTTAGGGTTACTGTTTCTGTGGAACGCTTTGCACATTATCATGACGGCAGCCATGTATGAGTCAATCCCTCTTCTTGCTCAGATACAACCATCAACTTGCCATTCTGAACAGAAGAGCCTATCTAAGCAAACAAAACGATGTTAGAAAACCCCGACTCCTAACATGCTTCTCGGACATATGCAACGTACGTTTATCCGCTCCACTTGTTCTACAATGCAAACCAATGAGATCATGTTGCTTTGAGCGGCTTGGCGACAACGCAAACACCAGCCAGTGACTGCCTCATGCAGGAATCTGCGTGGCAACCAAAACAAGCAAGATAGCAAAAGAGCTGGATCCAAAATGAGAACATCAACTATGGCAAAACAAGAATCTGTTCCGGTTTGGAGAGATGTACTCCAAATTTGAAACGGCGGGAACGCGAACAAAAACTCTACTGTTCGCAACACACGTCTTTGTATGGCTTTCATTTTTGCACAAGCGTCATCACCAAGCTTGCACTTGCAAATTTCAGGAGCTTAAAGCTTCCCACACTCTTCACAGGCACTTGATCACCACTCACGATGCTGCGTGTGGCTGGTTCCTGCAAGTGCCGAGGCCTCGCCGTGTCCCAGTTAAGGGATTCCTTTCCAGATATCGTGTCAATGATTTCCCTAGGAATTTTTTTTTGGCATCGAGCTTCTTTACCACATCAGCGGCGCAGTAAGCGATTCAAGACAATTGCTTGTACGAGGTGAGACGTAATCTTAATGCAACAAAACACAACAGGCAAAAGAACCAACCAGGAAACAAACAAAACACAATCGGAAGATAAAAAGAGAAACGCCACTCTCAGTACTCGAAGACGAGCAAGTAGCGGCACCAGCATTTTCCACATATGCGGAGCGAAAGCGAGCAGCGGATATCTGCAGAAACAGCAGCCGAAAATGCTTCATCAGCATGCCTGATCCAAACCAGCATGCAAGCACCGTTCCGTTCTGGCAAGAAGTCCAAAGTCGCGTATGTACGGCAAATATCAAGCGACCTAGTCAATCAGCCAGTCAATCTGCCATAGATGGTTGATGGTTCTAACGTCCATTCACTACGATCAAGAGTAGAGTCTGCAACCAATTCAGCATTGCTGTCACCAAGCAAACAAATGCAGATAAGGCAAAGGCTTTCCAATTTTTTCCACCCCCTTCTCGCAAAGCACCAAGGAGAAGATCTTTGCCTCCATAAGGGCTGAGGATGCTTTTGACGTCGAAGAAAAGGAAAGGGCAAAGGAAAAGGCCCTGCCGGCCGTCGCTTCTTCACGAAAAGAAAGGTTCAGGCAAATCTCATTTTGCCGATGATCAATCCCAATCCGATGCTTGGCAGAGTGATTGGCAGTCGCAAGAGGCTTCCTGGGATGAGTGGTCTTGGGACGATGGTGCCACTGAGGAGTCCTATGCCGCGAAAGGCAAAGGCAAGAAAGGCAAGAAGGGCAAAGGCAAAGGCAAAGGAGGCAAGGATGAAGGAAAAATGTTTCCCAACGATGGTACTGCAAACCTTGCCGATGCGCCTGCCCAGAATTCCAGTGCAATGATTGCCCATTCGTTTATGGCATCCTCCGTTGGAGAAGCCTACCTCGCACAGCCCTTGACTCCAACCTCAATGGTTCTGGATCTTGGATGCACGCGTGCGATGGTTCAAGGGCTTCCGCACAGAACCTCGTGCAGTTCTGTGACAAGAATCCCTACTGTGGCATCTGGTACAGGATCGCTGAGACGACGTCCCAGGTTACTTTTGCCAATTCTGAATCAACAAAGTGCTCCGAGAAGTTGATCGTGTTTATGTCGATCGGAAGTATGTCATTCAGTCCACAGAGTTTAACATTGCGGAGCAAGGCACAGTGCCCATACTAATGTCCTTGCCACAGATGCGAAATCTTGGATTCCAGGTCAGTCTTTCTCCAGAGCAGGCATGGCGAGCAGCTCTGTTCTGGGAGTTAAGAATGTGAAGCTACGAGTTGCACCAAGCGGGTGATCGAAATCAAAAGATGGAACTTGCGCGAATCCACAAAAAGACGAGGAAGAAGAAGTATAAGGTCGAGAGTCAGGAAATTGCTGGGAAACGAGCCGCTATTGTCAGGCCAAGCAGGGCACGGGAGGTGAGGTTAGCTGCAGGACGCAACTGTTAAGCCAAGGCTCAAATACCTTTGGGTGGCTTAAACCGGTGTGTGCAAGCATGCAAAAGTGAGAAGCGTGCAGGCTAAGAGTTGCTTGCTGTGTTTTGGTCGTTTACGTGGTAGCATCGTGTGGTGCTCCCCAACCAAACAAAAGAGCCAATACGCAAAAGGGTTTTTGTCAGGTGCTTGCAGAGCTGCTTTTGTGCCTCTGAGCACGTCGATGCCACGTGGGCGCCAGCACTCCCTTCAGTTGAGAGTCCCCACCATCAGGTCGGTGGTGTCCCCGGCTCCATCCTCCTTCCACGCAAGTTCCCCAGTCCAGCTGGTCCAGATCTTGGATGTGGCGTCCCAGGAGGAGTCCTCTATTGCCCTGGGCCAATGGTCCCGCGACCTTCAGTTGGATGCACAGGCCACTACAGGAAAAGGCTGGTGGGTCGACCTTCCCCGCCGGCCGTTTGGCCTCACACCCAGTTGGGGGAGGTGCCTGGACGGGAGGGCCTATGGCTATCTGGGATAGATGGCGCACCTGGCTTCAGACTGGGATGGTCCCTAAATCCCCAGAGGCCTTCGTTTCCATCCCCTCTGGACGACCCCCTTCTTCCCGTCCTAAAGGACTGGGTTCACGCTGATGATCGCAGCAGCCTCACCCGGGAGTTGGTGCCCCAGGTCGAGGCAAAATATAAGGAAGCTTTGGCCTCCCAGACCTCCCAGAACTCCGAGTCCTACTCCAAGTGGCTGGAAGAGGCGCAAAATGATCACCTCCGCCCCCTTTACCGCTCCCTTCGAGCTGACGAGCAAACCTTGGAACGGCCGTATCGGGAGTTCACTCCCTTGGCGCGGCCCTATAAACGGCTAGAATTTTGGTGTGAGGTCTGGCAGGGTAACCTGGTGTCGCCAGCCCCGCTCCAAGGGGAAGTATGGGATGCCTTGTGTGACTTGGCCCGGGAGCAGGTCCGTTCCCTGCCCAAGCATTCTGCTAACTCCGTCGCCAAGATATGCGCCGCGAAAAATCCCAAAAAAGGAGGCCCGGACGGCTGGGATTTCAACGATCTTCGAGACCTGCCTCGGGACGCGTATGCAATCCTAGCCGACGTCTTCAACAAAATGGAGGAGGACCTTGTCATTCCCCTCCAAGTTTCCCAGGTCCAGATTGTTCTTCTGGCCAAGAGTGCCTTGAAGGAAAGACCTATCGGTCTTACATCAGTCCTATGGCGGCTTTGGTGTAAGACTCGGCGGTTCTTGGTCGGCCAGTGGCTGGACTCTTACATTCCTGATCACCCTTTTGACTCGGCGATTCCAGGCCGTACCTCGTTGGACGTTGCCCTGGCCAGGAAATGCTCTAAAGAGTCTGCCAGAGTCAAGGGCCTGCACACTGTCTCGTTGTTCGTAGACATGAATGGGTTTTACGACAGCGTTTCCTGGCAGAGGCTTTGCGAACAAGGCTTGCGGTTGTCCTTCCCAGCCTTGGCCCTGTGCCTCTCCCTTCGCCTCTACCAAGGAGGTCGCACGGTGGTAGGGGAATCCCAGCCTAGTCCAACCATCTTCCCAGGACGGGGCATGATCCAGGGATGCCCGTACGCTCCCACCTTGGCCAAGCTTACCATGTCTGAACCCTTACATAGACTTAAACGAGTCACAGGCTTGGATCATTGCGATGTATGGTTGGACGATGTTTCTGCAGATTCCCTCCATGCCTCGCCGGATATAGCCGCGGGAGCGGCTTATGAAGCCTTTCGAGTGCTCATCTAGTCTTCAGGCTGAAGGTCTCGTCCTCAGCCAAGAGAAAACGAAATTTGTGGCCGGAACACCCCGATCGGCCGCGGCGCTGCGAAAGCTGTTGCGGCCAGGAGACCCCGACATAGTCGACGTGGTCAAGGATTTAGGCCTTGACAGTGGCAGTGGACGCGGGCGCAGGACAACTACTGCCCAAAAACGCTTCCGGGTAGGTGGCCTCCGTAACCTGAAGCTGGGTAAGCTTCGCATCCCGTCCCGCCGTGTCCGGCTACGGTTGCATCGTTCTAGTGTGGTCACCTTGGGTCTTTATGGCCATGAAGCACAGGGGGTCGCCCCTAAACATATGAAAACCATGCGCGCAGCGGTGGCCCGACACGCAGGCAGGAGCCGATACGGTTCAACGGATACCATCCTAGATATGACAGCCCACGAGGTCCAGGATCCTTACCTTATTGTGGTGACCCAGCACGTGGAGAGTCTTTTCAGGATGATGGCCAGATGTAACCGCATGGGCTGGGAAGCAGTAAAGGACACTTGGAGAGTGGTCTGGAAGCGGCTGGAGGCTGCGAAGCATGGCTGGTCCGTGGTCACCGGACCCATCTCAGCCATGTGTCAGTACCTCCGCGACCTCCAGGTCGACGGCCACGATCCTTCACGCTGGCTTTTTGAGGAACGTGTCCTTGAAATTACGCCTTCTGAGGTTTCGATTGTCTGTCAAACCTCGTCCTTCCTCACGGGCATCATCAAGACCCAGAGGTCTCGTCGCATGGGTTCGGCCTCTTCGGCAGCGGGTGCTGGTGGAGGGGTCGACTGGACGGTCCCACGTCGCCTGCTCAAGTCAGTGCGGACCAAAACGACCCGGTACGCTTATCGGGCAGTCTTCCAAGGGTCCATTCTCCACAATGGCAACGGTGGCAAGGATGTCTGTAAGTTTTGTGGTGATTCCGGAACCACATCGATTTGTGGATTGACGATTGCTCAGCAGATTTTGTCGATTCCCACGCACCGACAGTTGCTGCTCAGGCCATCAAGTGTTACAGGGAGCTGAAAGCTGACCTCGAGACTCAGGGCCTGACGGTCAGCACCACCAAAACGGCCTTCATCTGCTCAAACAAGGCATCTGCCAGAGAGTTGCAATCCTTGGTTGGGGAGCATGAACCCCCCATCAAAACCCTAGGCAAAGACCTTGGTCTGGATTATGCAGCAGGGCAGCGGAGGCGAATCACAGTAGCCAGAGGGAGGCATGCTAAAGGGGGGCAGCGTGCCAGCAAATTGACCAAGCTGCAGGTCAAAGGCACCAGCATCCGGGTAAGACTCTTCAACGGTTCCATCCGTTCATCCGCCTTGTATGGGCATGAGGGCGTTGGGGTAGCGCCTAAAAGGCGTAAGTGGTTTAGGAGTCTGCTCGCTGCGGCCCTGGGCCGACCCACACTTGCCAGCACCGACTCATCCCTTGAGTTCCACTCGAACACGGTTGTAGACCCAACCGACACCATCATGTCACAACATTTCAAGGCGGTGCGGCGGCTTCTTCTCAGCTGGCCTGACAGAGACATCGGCAGATTGCACCAAAGCTGGGACAAGCTCGGGCAATGGCTGAGTGAAGCTGAACATCCCTGGAAAAGGGCGGCTGGACCGCTTGGGGCCGCTTGGTGCTACCTTCAAGAGCTGGGTTGGGAGGCTGTCAGCCTCAGCAAATGGCGCGTTGAAGGCAAGGTTCTTGACATCCTTCAAGGACCTGACTTCCATGCACTTCTTTTCCAGCTTAAACAGCTGATCGACAAAAGGCGACACTGCCGCATTGCTCAACTGGATGGTGGCAAGGGACTGGAAACAGGACCGGACTGGACGACCCCCAGACGGCTCCTAAAGCAGGCCAACAAGCAGGAAAAAGCGGCGCTTCAAGCGTTGTGGCAAGGCGCAGTCAAGGCGTCTCCAACAGCCACGTGTTCCCTATGCAACCAGCCAGCCACCAGGAAGCATGTTCTCTGGGAATGCCAATGGTGGAAAAAGCATGGTGAGCAGCCGCCTCGGTGGTGGGAAGACTACCCGGAGCATCAATCCACCGATTGTCTTTGGAACTTTGGACTCATGCCCAACCTGCCCAGGGAGTTTCCTCACAGAGATTCCATTCTAGAAGTCCGGGGAGTCCTCCGCAACCCCGATCAAATTCCTGAAGGCGCTTTTGCAGCCACTGACGCCAGTGGCGGCCCCACTACTGACCATCGGCTTCAAAACATTGTGTGGGGTTTGATAGTCTATGAATGGTGTGGTGACACGCCCAAACAAATTGGGTCCATTGCTGGCCTTCTGGGCAATGAGCAATCAGTGTACCGCGGGGAGGCTAAGGCCATCCAACAAGCGGCCCTTCTCCTTCCGAAGGGAACTGACGTAACCAGTGATTGCAAAGGGGCAGTTGCACGTGCCAGGAGGGGCCCTAACGGGGGAGGAGGACACCAAGACATTTTCGGTACTGCACCCACCCATGAACTTCGCCTCACATGGGTTCCGTCCCATCTAGGGCGCGAGGAATTTAAGGAAAAAATGGGGGCAGGGCAGGAATGGAGGCGTTCCATCAATGCTGAAGTTGATGCACTGGTGTCCAGGCACGCCAAAACTCTCTACAGCACTGAGCTTGCAGAAAGGTTGCAGAAAAATGACAAATTGGCCACGGATGTTGCCGGTTTCTTAGGACGCAGGCTCCTCTCCTTGCTTGAAGGGGGAAAAAAGGATGGCCCTCAAGTGATCTTCCCTAAAGAGCAGCTACAGGAAGAGCCTGTCAAGACTCCCTCCAGCAGCTCCTCCTCAAGCCACTCCGCCTTCTCCAAAAACCGATGGACGAAACGCCAAAAAACTCAGCGGGGCAAGCAAGCATCCAGAGGCCAGGATCCCACCGCCTTGAATCCTGCGGAGGGCACCCCAAGGGGTGACGTTACAAAGGCACGGCCCGAAGGAACAGGGAGCCTTAACAAGAAGCAAATTTTGACAGGTTTGGTACAAGGCACCCTCGACGCTAAGGGGCACACCTTTGCAATCACCCGTGACACCGTTAACAATTTGCAAACCAAGTGTGAAAACTGCGGTTTGTGGATTCAGCAAGTTGACACCAAAGACACCTTCAACCGGAAAACCCACAACCACTGCAAGGGTCATCCGGACAGCGTTCCCTCCCCAACATGGACCTGGCACCCGTCTCACGTGATGTTGAATGAGGGATACAGATGGGTCTGCACGAAATGCAATAGCGCTCAAAGTGTGGGGGCGATAACACACGGCCCCCTTGAAAGACCCTGTTTAAACGCCCCGAACAAGCGGCCCCAATCAAGTGCCCTCAAATTAAATAAAGCAGCCCAGGGAACTCCGTCGGTTGCCACCTTTTTTGGGGGCCTAAGAAAGGGATAGCACGTGTAGGGGTGAGACAAAGTGAAATCGGCATATTGCTTTTGTCTTGTTTATAAAAGTTCCCCTTTCAAGACGTTTGCACTTGCCCAGTTTCCACAAGCCCAGCCCTAACCTCCCTAAGTGCGCAAATTCCGCATGCCGCAGCCACTGGTCTTCAGACAGAGGTAGCAGCCCTAGGGCAGTGTAGCTACCTCCGTAACTGTAGGTTATGGGATGGGGCCAGGGCAAAGGAAAGGGGGCACAGCCTCCTCAAGGCAAAGGCAAAGGCAAAGGGGGGGGTACCAACCTCCCGGAGCAGGTAAAGGGGGCCATCCTCCTGGAGCCAAAGGCGAGATCCCCTTCAAGCGACCCTCCAAGAAAGACAGGGACCGCCTGAAGCAGCTAGGGTTGTGGCCACCTCCTAAGGGGCAAGGCAAGAACGCCCAATCAAGCCAAAACCCAGCACCAGAAGGGGGCCACCCCAGGCCACCCACGCCTCCCCCGGCAGACGGCGAGCACCCTCGACAAGCCGCAGTCGCACGCCTCGCCAGGGTCGTGTCTTTTGGCAGAGTCTGACTAGGAGCCCAATCGGTGAACTTCTCATTAGTAATCCCCATTTTGCCGGGGTATTGGGCAACCAAGATAGTTTTTGGTAGGCGGGGGCTCTAACCACAGGGATCAAGGACGCCACGTAGGTAGTTTGGGGGGGGGGGGGGCCGGGCGGTCCGGAAATTGCCCCCGCATCAGGAAGAGCGTTTTTTTTTGCTTTCTGGTGACGGTATGGAGTTGCTACTGCAGAGTGTACGGCAGCGGAACTTGCGGAACAAGCTTAGGCGCGTATGCCGGGGAACAGCAGGAATGCGACGCGTCCGGGGCGACCCAACAGCCCGACGCCCAGTTCGACTTACCATGAGGCAGTCCAGCAGCCTAAGCTTCTGTGTCAGCGTGCTGATGCAGAAGCTTCTTTTGCTTGCAGGGCCCGAAGTGAAGTTCCTGAACCGCCCGAAGACGGTGAGAGCCGCTCACATAGTGAGTTTCGCAGGCAGGGGCTTGTTCCATTTCTTGCGCATCTTGCCAAGAGCAAGGAACCTAGTTCGACTTATTATGAAGGTTGGAAGAAGCAAGTAACACAGTTACTCTGAGTGTTATCCTGGTGCATTTTGTGAAGGAGAACCACCTGGAAAGGCCTCCAAGAAGCTGGAAATCCTTTTTTTGGTGCATTTTATGAAGGAGAGCTACCTGGAAAGGCTTTGAAGGAAAGGAGAACTGCCTGGAAAGGCCTTCAAGGAGCTGGAAATCCTTATCCTCATGCATTTTATGAAGGAGAACTACCTGGAAAGACCTTCAAGAGCTGGAAAGCCTTATCCTGGTGCATTTTATGAAGAACACCACAAGCCCAGTCATTTTATGAAGAACAACCAGAGCAGCCTTATCACTGAGCATTTTCTAGAGAGCAACAACCATTGCTGGAGACATGTGCCGGCTGATGGCTAGGAGTGAGATCGCCCATCACACAATCGAGGTAACCGACCGATCATGAGAGTCTCCCCAACACAAACTGCCACGAAGCCTCCGCAGGCGGCCCACACGCACTTGAGCAATATCGGGAAGCTCGTGAGATCCGGGACAAAGACAAGAACGATCTCCAGCGAACCAGGCCACGGCATCATGTCATCATACTTGAAGTTGCTCATCAGCCGCCGAAAATCTGAAAAAGACGGAGGATGGAAGTAGAGGAAGACTGCCAACAGGTACTAAACACACGTACTATTGTGCCACACCCTGCATCCAATAAAAGATAGAGAACAAGGCAAACGCGATGTTTGCCCGCCTCTCAATGCAGGTGCGCCGACACGAGAGACAGCAAATGTCTCTTCGACGCAGCCCGCATTGGCTTGTGCGAACCTCCGACGAGGCGTTGCCGAGCGGAAGAGGATGATAGGCGAAGGCCCAACAGCAGCAGATTGCACACACGAAACCTTATTCAGGCGGAGAATTGCACCGGAGAGACGAGGGTACCTTGCTGCTTAGAGCGATCAAGAAAAACAAAACACTCCACAGACGTCCTGCCGCAGGCCCGCAGCAAGCCGGAGCGACCTCCAGCCGACGCCTATGAGCCGAACTGAGCTGCCAGGGAAGAACTGAAGAAACGCTGTGATTCCTAATGCACATTGGGCGAGGTGCGGCAGGACCTTACCAGCCTCCAAAGAAAAACGTCCTACCCGTCGAAGAAGAAGCCGAAGGCTGGATCCGTAAGGAAGCTCATGTACACAATGTTCACCGGATCATGTCAGGCCGATCGGGAAGATGGCAAGCTCAACCAGGAAACCTATCGACATGGGCAGGACCGTCGGACGAGGTCGAGGCTGTCCTTTTTCAAAAACGGTGGTGCAACGCAGGACCCTGGCAATACCCTGGAGTTCACATCCCACCACAAGGAGAACAACCGAACCGATTCGGAGCCACCAGCCACGCGTCTCTTTCTGCAGTCGAATTTAACATTGCAGACGCCGGACACTCTGGCTCGGGTGAACTAGATTCATACCCAGTCTCCTCGACGAGCTTTCCACGCGCGAGCAGCACTGATGGGCGTCTCTAGACTGCAAATAAAAGGCATCTATTTAACAACGTGCCGAACTCCGCCTTTCGCCAGGTTCGACGGGTCTCTATCAGCTTCTGGGGACAGGCATAGAGCCGCCGGGAAGAAGCGCAGGCTGAAACTGGTCGCAGGGACACGAAACAGCAGCTTATCGCGCGGGCAACCTTCGATCTCTGCACAGACACCGCCCGAAGCGAACAAACAGCAACCGAAAACACTCCCATTATGATGCGTGAAACATAAAAAAAAACACTACACAATCGACGTTCTGCACGAGGCGGACTGGAGCCCGGGCGATCGGCCGCGACAGACATGCATCATGCGAGGAATGCCTGTGGAGGAGTCTTGACTGCAACTCGAACAGTCGATGGTGCCCCCACCTTTGCCGATTCTTCCGATCGCTGCGACCTTTCCTACCTAGGTCATCCGGCACTCTATCAAACCACCGGAAAAGAAGTGCTATTGCCGGACGGGATGACAGGTGCAGCCTCGACTGCCTATGCAAAAAGCGAAAACATCTCCCCTGTATGTGCAATGGACGAAATTACTACAGAGAACCTACTACCGACGTCCTAGGTGCATATTTTTCTACACGGCAATGACCCGTGACCCATTACGACGCGACATGCCGCGTTGCCGATAGTTGTTTCTTCGGAACGAGCAAGAACCGAGAGATGCAGGTTGGCGGCGACATGAATACCAGTCTGCAATATGGGCAGGTATCGGAGCCTGAGCTGCATTGAATCTATCAGCAAAGCAAGAAAAGTATTCCGCAAAGCAAGACGATATTCTTCTTGTCGTTGTCCTGAACCCATAGGTGGCATCCCGACACCATAATTCCATCTCGATGACTCAGGCCACGCCGCGTGCAATACTGGCCTACAACACCGATGAAAATGCATCCACTCAGGAGGTTTGCAGAGTAGCCGCTGGGCCAGTATGAAGTGCGGATACGAGGTGGCGCATTATCGCACACGTTCAACTACTTACCTCCTAGACAAACTTCGCAACGTTTGTGTCGCTTCAGACACACGGTCAGCCAGTGCAAAGGAACCGCTACCGTTCGATACTGCCACTGGCAAAGAGTACGTCGGCGGATAGACCCCTTGGCTCCTAGGTGTCTACTGTACATGCCGAGTCAACAAAACTGGGCCAAGAAAAGACTTGGGTGCTGCATGACGTGTGCTGCATAGCATGCCCTCGTGTCAAGACAAAACCCCAAAACCCCGTCCTCGCATGTGCTTCAACAGACGCTGCCCGCAACCTTCGAATGCACGGCGACGAGTGTAGTCCGTTCACGTGCGCGCATGAATCAATATAACTTACAGAACCTTCCCCATCACATGTAAGACGATACGCGCACATTTGCTCATATCCCCTCAGAAACAAGAGCAACGGACTAGAACCCATCCCTTCTCGATATATATATATATATATATATGTGAGAGGGACCTTTTGGGTCCATTTCACGTATATCACTTGTATGAGGAATTTAATTTATTTACCTATTAATTTCTTTAATTTCTTTAATTTCTGGGGCTCTCTTAGGGAAATAAATGAAATTAAAGAAATTAATTAATTTCTTTAATTTCTTTATTTTCTGGGCCTCTCTGTGCGAAATTAAAGAAATTAAAGAAATTAATTAATTTCATTAATTTCTTTAATTTCCGGGCCTCTCTGTGAGAAATTAAAGAAATTAAAGAAACTAAATAATTTCATTAATTTCTTTAATTTCTGGGCCTCTCTGTGCGAAATTAAAGAAATTAAAGAAATTAATTAATTTCTTTAATTTCATTAATTTCATTAATTTCTTTAATTTATTTTAATTAGTCCCGTGAGCCGGGGGGGGGGCCCCAATTAATTTCTTTAATTTCTTTAATTTCTGGGCCTCTCTGTGAGAAATTAAAGAAATTAAAGAAATTAATTCCGGTAGCCCTTCGGGCTTGCGAGACTAATTAAAAGAAATTAAAGAAATTAAAGAAATTAAAGAAATTAATGAAATTAATTAATTTCTTTAATTTCTTTAATTTCTGGGCCTCTCTGTGAGAAATTAAAGAAATTAAAGAAATTAATTAATTTCATTAATTTCTTTAATTTCTGGGCCTCTCTGTGAGAAATTAAAGAAATTAAAGAAATTAATTAATTTCATTAATTTCTTTAATTTCTGGGCCTCTCTGTGCGAAATTAAAGAAATTAAAGAAATTAATTAATTTCTTTAATTTCATTAATTTCATTAATTTCTTTAATTTATTTTAATTAGTCCCGTGAGCCGGGGGGGCCCCCCCAATTAATTTCTTTAATTTCTTTAATTTCTGTGCCTCTCTGTGAGAAATTAAAGAAATCAATTAATTTCATTAATTTCTTTAATTTCTGGGCCTCTCTGTGAGAAATTAAAGAAATTAAAGAAATTAAAGAAATTAATTAATTTCATTAATTTCTTTAATTTCTGGGCCTCTCTGTGCGAAATTAAAGAAATTAAAGAAATCAATTAATTTCTTTAATTTCATTAATTTCATTAATTTATTTAATTTATTTTAATTAGTCCCGTGAGCCGGGGGGGCTACCCCAATTAATTTCTTTAATTTCTGGGCCTCTCTGTGAGAAATTAAAGAAATTAAAGAAATTAATTCCGGTAGCCCTTCGGGCTTGCGAGACTAATTAAAAGAAATTAATGAAATTAAAGAAATTACAGAAATTAATGAAATTAATTAATTTCTTTAATTTCTTTAATTTCTGGGCCTCTCTGTGAGAAAATAAAGAAATTAAAGAAATTAATTAATTTCATTAATTTCTTTAATTTCTGGGCCTCCCTATGAGAAATTAAAGAAATTAAAGAAATTAATTAATTTCATTAATTTCTTTAATTTCTTGGCCTCTCTGTGCGAAATTAAAGAAATTAAAGAAATTAATTAATTTCTTTAATTTCATTAATTTCATTAATTTCTTTAATTTATTTTAATTAGTCCCGTGAGCCGGGGGGGCTACCCCAATTAATTTCTTTAATTTCTTTAATTTCTGGGCCTCTCTGTGAGAATTAAAGAAATTAAAGAAATTAATTCAGGTAGCCCTTCGGGCTTGCGAGACTAATTAAAAGAAATTAAAGAAATTAAAGAAATTAATGAAATTAATTAGTTTCTTTAATTTCTTTAATTTCTGGGCCTCCCTATGAGAAATTAAAGAAATTAAAGAAATTAATTGATTTCATTAATTTCTTTAATTTCTGGGCCTCTCTGTGCGAAATTAAAGAAATTAAAGAAATTAACTAATTTCTTTAATTTCATTAATTTCATTAATTTCTTTAATTTATTTTAATTAGTCCCGTGAGCCGGGGGGGCTACCCCAATTAATTTCTTTAATTTCTTTAATTTCTGTGCCTCTCTGTGAGAAATTAAAGAAATTAAAGAAATTAATTCCGGTAGCCCTTCGGGCTTGCGAGACTAATTAAAAGAAAAAAGAAATTAAAGAAATTAAAGAAATTAATGAAATTAATTAATTTCTTTAATTTCTTTAATTTCTGGGCCTCTCTGTGAGAAATTAAAGAAATTAAAGAAATTAATTAATTTCATTAATTTCTTTAATTTCTGGGCCTCTCTGTGAGAAATTAAAGAAATTAAAGAAATTAATTAATTTCATTAATTTCTTTATTTCTGGGCCTCTCTGTGCGAAATTAAAGAAATTAAAGAAATTAATTAATTTCTTTAATTTCATTAATTTCATTAATTTCTTTAATTTATTTTAAGTAGTCCCGTGAGCCGGGGGGGGGCCCCAATTAATTTCATTAATTTCTTTAATTTCTGGGCCTCTCTGTGCGAAATTAAAGAAATTAATGAAATTAATTAATTTCTTTAGTTTCATTAATTTCTTTAATTTATTTTAATTAGTCCCGTGAGCCGGGGGGGCTCCCCCAATTAATTTCTTTAATTTCTGTAATTTCTTTAATTTCTGGGCCTCTCTGTGAGAAATTAAAGAAATTAAAGAAATTAATTCCGGTAGCCCTTCGGGCTTGCGAGACTAATTAAAAGAAACTAATGAAATTAAAGAAATTACAGAAATTAATGAAATTAATTAATTTCTTTAATTTCTTTAATTTCTGGGCCTCTCTGTGAGAAAATAAAGAAATTAAAGAAATTAATTAATTTCATTAATTTCTTTAATTTCTGGGACTCCCTGTGAGAAATTAAAGAAATTAAAGAAATTAATTAATTTCATTAATTTCTTTAATTTCTGGGCCTCTCTGTGCGAAATTAAAGAAATTAAAGAAATTAATTAATTTCTTTAATTTCATTAATTTCATTAATTTCATTAATTTCTTTAATTTATTTTAATTAGTCCCGTGAGCCGGGGGGGCTACCCCAATTAATTTCTTTAATTTCTTTAATTTCTGGGCCTCTCTGTGAGAAATTAATGAAATTAAAGAAATTAATTCAGGTAGCCCTTCAGGCTTGCGAGACTAATTAAAAGAAATTAAAGAAATTAAAGAAATTAAAGAAATTAATGAAATTAATTAATTTCTTTAATTTCTTTAATTTCTGGGCCTCCCTATGAGAAATTAAAGAAATTAAAGAAATTAATTAATTTCATTAATTTCTTTAATTTCTGGGCCTCTCTGTGCGAAATTAAAGAAAATTAAAGAAATTAATTAATTTCTTTAATTTCATTAATTTCATTAATTTCTTTAATTTATTTTAATTAGTCCCGTGAGCCGGGGGGGCTACCCCAATTAATTTCTTTAATTTCTTTAATTTCTGTGCCTCTCTGTGAGAAATTAAAGAAATTAAAGAAATTAATTCCGGTAGCCCTTCGGGCTTGCGAGACAAATTAAAAGAAATTAAAGAAATTAAAGAAATTAAAGAAATTAATGAAATTAATTAATTTCTTTAATTTCTTTAATTTCTGGGCCTCTCTGTGAGAAATTAAAGAAATTAAAGAAATTAATTAATTTCATTAATTTCTTTAATTTCTGGGCCTCTCTGTGAGAAATTAAAGAAATTAAAGAAATTAATTAATTTCATTAATTTCTTTAATTTCTGGGCCTCTCTGTGCGAAATTAAAGAAATTAAAGAAAATAATTAATTTCTTTAATTTCATTAATTTCATTAATTTCTTTAATTTATTTTAAGTAGTCCCGTGAGCCGGGGGGGGGGCCCCAATTAATTTCTTTAATTTCTTTAATTTCTGGGCCTCTCTGTGAGAAATTAAAGAAATTAAAGAAATTAATTCCGGTAGCCCTTCGGGCTTGCGAGACTAATTAAAAGAAATTAATGAAATTAAAGAAATTAAAGAAATTAATGAAATTAATTAATTTCTTGAATTTCTTGAATTTCTGGGCCTCTCTGTGAGAAATTAAAGAAATTAAAGAAATTAATCAATTTCATTAATTTCTTTAATTTCTGGGCCTCTCTGTGCGAAATTAAAGAAATTAAAGAAATTAGTTAATTTCTTTAATTTCATTAATTTCATTAATTTCTTTAATAAAATTTCCCTGATGTTTCCCTGTTGCGCTTTTTTTTGGCCCCGATTGTTTCAGGGAAGTTTTCCCTTGAAACCCCTGTGTAGTGCTAGAATTTCCCCTCGAATCCCTTTAAGGCTTCGTGTATCTGTACCGCGTTCCCTTTTCTATTCCCTTACTTTCGTGCTGAAACCATCGCCCTTTCTTTCCCTTAATTTCCCCAGTCATCCCTTAAAGAAAGGGACGCCTTCAAGATGTAGGAAGGATTTTTCATATAGTTGTGTGTACAATGGCTTGGTACTAGCGCTCTAATTTTCAAGAAGCTGTTTTGCAAGTAATGTGTGTCACGAGTTTGCTACGTTCATAGGCAGACGATGTAAATACACCCTCTCTAAACAAACCATTTCCCCTAAACCCTGAACCCTAAACTCTAAACCCTAAACCCTAAACGCTCAAAGACTCCTACGGCCTCCAGGCCCTCTAAGAATCCCAAGTTCTCTAAGACTCCCAAGCCCCCTACACTTCCTAAGGCCCCGAAGCTCCCCAGGCCCCCTGAGCCCGCCAAGCCTCCTTAAGTCCCGTAAGCTCCCTAAGCTGTCGAAGCCCCCTTACTCCCTAAACAATTTCGCAGAGCAAGCAGACAGCAAGTGAA